CCCCCCCCCCAGTCACGACCGTCCGTTTCAATCCGCAACCGTGAGCCGGGTCTTCTACACACACCATCAACTGTCATTCCGGCTTTCGTTTTGTCCGCCTTAGCGTCCGTTTGCCGAAGAGATTGTTGAAGGCGGCGGGTATTGCTCAATATCTCGACCGGCAGTTTTTCCGGTTCTGTTGTACGGGTTCTCCTTGAGGTTCGCAGATTTTTTTTTTTTTTTTTTTTTGGAAGCTCCAAAATGACGTGCGAGAAATTTGAATATCAGGAGTAATGTTCGTTGGACAAACATTGCGTCAGTTTAATTTAGCCGGGGATTGCGTGCGGATGTTGGGGGAACCAAGTACACGATGATTTGCGTGGTTATAAAATTAACATATTTAAATGCCCTGTATGAATTAGGGTTAGGTCCACGCTGGTATTTTCTGCTTCACGAGGCTGCAACATTAACATATTTTAATACAGTTTATTAATTGGGGTCACCATGTCACTATCTTGGGCATGATAAAGTGGGAGCCTTGAAATTTCTATTAAAGTAGCATTTTGCATGTTTTTAAGTAGCATTGTATTTGTAGCATTTCGCTCTTTCTATTAAAGTAGCACATTCCACTATTTATTTAAGTAGCATTTTCCACGTTTTATCAAAGTAGAAATATGCACGTTTTAATTTGTTTTATTAAAGGAGCCTGTTATGCCTTCTTAAAGTGACATTTTGCGCCTTTAGCTTCAATTGAAGTGGAACTATTTCCGCTCTCTGTATGTATTTCTTCAGGACAGCGATATTTTGAAGTGTTATTGGTGAGTGCAGAGGCGTAGCGAGGGAGGTACACATGTCCCCGGGCGCCAAAAAGGGTTGAAAAAAAAAATTAAAAGCTAAATTTTAGCTAAATTTTGCATTATAAGTATAAAAATTATATGGGGGGCGCCGTGAAGGGTCGCTACGCCTCTGGGTTAGTGCTTAATTTTGGACTAGAATTAACTTAAGGGTATACTTCTTAGACCATGAGAAATAGTCGCCCGCTTTTATTTTCCATCATCATTTTACACATTGGGACTTTAAAAAAAAATTTCTGCTGTCAGAAATATAAATCTCCCCTAGAATACACCCCCCTCCCTCTCAGACACCTCCCCCATCTCCAATAGAAGATATTTTCATCAATTTCAAGGCCCCTATTATCCCATTACTTCAACGATCATACACAAAACACACACATAACTTCTAAACATATGTGTATAAACATCTTACTTCTTACATGCATTTTTAATTTTTTTCACTAATACTTTGTGTTTAATATGATTTAACGTATTGGTTACTTCAATGTGAAGTGAGTAGGGTGTTCGTTTGTTTACAATGTGCAGTCCTCTAAGGTCAAATAAAAAAGAACGAATAATTACTCTTTCCTTATTTTGATTTTTTTCTAAAACATGTCACTCTTAACACCACTGAATACATGATGTGCGTGTGTGCATGTTGCATTTGTAGAGTATGACGTGTGTGAGGTGGGGGTATTTGTGTGTGGGAGGTGGGGGGTTGTCATGCAGTGGGAAAGAGGATGAACATGCGGATCAAACAGCCGTGGGCTCAAAAAAAATACCTCCACAAAAGAAAAGGCTACCCGTTGAAAACAATCTCCCACGAACACCCTTCAAAAACCTGTCAACTTTAACTGGAGGATGACGTCGCTCACACAAAACGCACGTGCTGTCGTGTCCACGCATCTGACGTTTTCATCGTCACGTGACCCGCGAGTACACACCCACTGCCGTTTGTCTACATGCTCGCCCATCAAACCTCCCCCCCCCCATCTCCAAAATGTTTTTGTTGTTTCTTTATTTTTATTTTTTTTCCTGTCACAAAATCGACACGGAGAGTGAAAGGGTTTAATTTAGACACGTCAACTAATGCGCCCACTTGCTCAAATTGGAACAAATATCTTTTTTGTTTCTCTTTTACTCTCCCCCCCTTCCTTGTCTCACTCCTTCCTATCATCTCACACTTTCTTTGTTTTTCCTCTTTAATTATCCCCACCGTCCCGTTCGCCCCCTTCTCTTTGATGGGGCAGCGATACCAGGCGATCGGCCTGTCAGTCATGTGCTGTCAGGTCAAGCCTGGTGGCCTATTTGTCAGTAAAACTTTAAGCCCCGGCTGAGAGCGTATAATGAGCCCAATCAAGCGGAAGCTTGGCTCACGGGAGGAGAAAAATCTGGCCATTTCTGATGTTTCGTCTACGTCCAGTTAGTCTGGTAAATGGAAGAGGGAAAATAAAAAGGCCGATGCTAGCCGGAAAAAGATGCGAATGCGCAATGGAGAGAAACTACGACTTGCCATCGCGGCGATGTTTTCGATGATACTGCGCATGCGTGTGTTTACAACCCCAGAACCCTAACACCAACCCTATCCCTATCCCTATCCCTAATCCTATCCCTAACCCTAATTCTAGCCCTAACCCTAGCCATAGGTCACTGCGCATGCGCAGAGCTATCTTTTGCCGACTACGCGGAGACGTTGGGGAGAAAAATCTTCTTCCGAGTAGTCACTTCGAAATAAAAAAGGGGCGGGGGGTCTTTTTTCGAGTCTAGTTAGTAAAATAGTGAATATTTATAAAATAATTGAATGTCAGATAAGTGTTTTCTAAGTGTAATTAGAAAATAATTGAGCATCTGAGAAATTAGCTAATTAAGGATAATTATATTAAAATCTTATTAATCATACATTTTGACTTTTCATTTAAATTTTTAGTAATTTGAGAATTGTGTTTTAGAACTCGGTTAAACATTTCAGAAAATTTACCTACTATGGACAATGGGAATTTCATTCTCGGGTCTAGATAGTAAGTAGCGAATAACTACGAAATAATTAAAAGTTAGAAAATTGTATTTTTACGACTAATCGGAACACAATTGAGCATCTGAGAAATACGTTATTTGAAAGATAGTCGTATTTAAATCTCATTAAGCATACATTAATCTTTCATTTAATATATTGGTATTTATACTATTTAGAGATTGGCTTTAGAACCTGTGTTGCCAATTAATAAAATTTAACACATTTCCTCCTAGCCACAGAAATCAGAAAATATCATATTCCAGTTACTTAAAGGTTTAATCGTAATAACAATGTGATTTTGGTCCCATCAGCTAGAGATTTTCGACATTTGACGTTCAAAAATTGTCTCTATAGTGTTACATATATCAGTCTCATGTTTCCGTTTTGTAAGGCTGGAAGAAAAATAAAATTGTATCAATAGAATGCGTTTTATGATTTATTTGCACTGAAGCGAGTTAAGACTTAGTTTACGGCTTTAAGTTAGTTCATTCATATCAGGCAATATCTTCTTGTTGATGGCATACTAGTAAAACTAGCTGTGTGTTATATTATTACATTTGGCTGAAATATTTTGTTCACTCTGTGTTATGTTACATAATGTAGTGCTAGTTCTTCGTAGTGTAGGTTTAGCTCATGGCTATACATGATACTGCTTTAGCTTTTGGCCACTTATTATAATGTAGCTTTAGCTTATGGCCAGGCATCAAGGGGAGGTTTTAGCTCATGGCCAGATATCATTATGTAGTTTTAACTTTTGACCACTCTTATAAAATAGCTTTAGCTCATGGCGAGACATCACAGTGTAGCTTTAGCTCATAGCCAGATATGGCGGTGTATCTTTAGCTCATGGACAGATATCGCGGTGTATCTCTCTCTCCCAACTGCAATTTGTTCATTAAAACAAGCAAACACTGACGCTCCGCTATCGAACACAGCTGTCAATTAGTTCCTGTCTCAGCTCCCATCAAAGGGACCGTGTGGAATTAATGAAGTGTGAAGTGTGCCGTAGCTACGGGACCGACGTGTGAAGTTGTTTGGGCCACATCTCCCTGTGTTCTCTGGCAAGCACTGCATTTATAGCACCATGCAAGGGACGTAATTCTCGATTTTTTAATCTATTGATTATCTCTTCAGTTATTTTTTTTTTTTATAGTTTTAATTAACAGTATTAATTATTGTACCCAAAGGTAGCTTTGTAACATAAACTTCGTTTTTTTTTAACTTTTTCTCAGTATTTTCTATCATAAAGACACTGTTCGTAGCAAAAATCGCGCCTATTATTGAATTTCCTAATTTGTAAAGCATTTTAACACTTTGAAAATCTAAACGCGTCCACACAGCTTATAACAATGATTGCCTAGCTTGCCGCGATGGTTAACGATACGTGTATTACATGAGCAGATTTGAAATCTCAGGTTAAAATACAAGGGAGGGCAACGCATGTTTTCTTCTGTAGGGTCAAGGTAAGTTATGCCTAAGGTTAGGGCTAAGACTTGTGTAAGATATCGTTATCGGCGTCAGTATATCCAGTTACGTAATTTGTTTTTGTTTATGGCTTAGCTCTGACAGAAAAGTTTTCCCAGATTGTTTATAATACTTTTTTTTTTAATAAAAAGTGTTTTTATTAAAGAAAGAGTTGGATAGTCCAGATTAAGAGCTTAAAAATATTTTACATTGCTTAGGGAATAAAAAGGAAGGACTTGTCTAGGCCTATTTATGACCCCAAATGATGGAATGGTGTGGTTGAGCACAAGAGCGAGTGATTGCTTACACCAGAAGTCCCGAGTTCGAACCCCGGGCAGATGAGGTTCGTTAGCAGCGGACAGTAGCCCATTTTGAGAGAAAACTCCAAAATCAAAAAATTGTTGCCTTTCTTAGTTAGTTCTTGGTTGAACAAAGGCTGTGGGAAGCAAAGCCAGAAAAAAAAATTGACTGAAATCGGAGTATATGGCGTATACTACGTAATGACGTAATACTTGGAGTAAATCCCTTCAACATTACTATTAAAAAAAAGAACTCCAAATAAAAAGTTAACTAATTTTAAACCCGATTTATGTCACCTAAACAAATTTAATTTTTTTTGCTGCCAATTTATTTTAATAACGGAAGGAACAGATGCACCTAGCCTTGACCTTTTAATGACCTCTTGTTGACCTTTATCATTGTCTTTACAGATTAGGTGTTGATGACGCAATCCTGAGCGGAACCTTTTTATTTGAAATCTTTTGCAGTAGGCTCCCTGTAGTATGGGTTAACGGATTCAGTTGACACAGGTGAGTGGGTGGTTGGTGGTTATGTGTTGTATGTCTGATGTGTTAGTGATTGATGCGTGTTGGGATATGCAGACAAGATTTGGAAATATGAATCAGGGATGAGCATGAAGATATGTGTTAGCAATATAAGCAGAAAGGGATATTTCAACGTCAAAGGTAGACAAAGGTACAGAATATAGTCCAAGCACTTACTCAAAAGTTTGTAGTAATTCCTTCAATTCCAGTTTGCAATCGTAATCATATTTTATTGAAATTGTTGCTAACTCCACGAGTCTACATTGTTCTTTAAGACATAGCCCCCTTCCCCCTTAAAGTGCTTCCGCCCCCCCCCCCCTCCCTGGGGGATAACAGTCTGGAAAACAAACCACTGAAAAAAAAGTTCTTGTATTGTTGGGCTCCAAGAAGTCCTCCCTAGGTGAGTTCCAAACGGAAATTACCTGGTTTAAGCTTGACTGTCTTTAGTTATAATTGTAAAATGTCTATACTGTGTGATTATGTGACGATTTTTTTTTGTTTTGGAAAAAATAAAAGGTTATACATGTTATAGATTCCAGCCTAAAATTTTTATATATGAATCCTTTGGGAGAGGGTAAAAAATATGAAAAAAACAATTAATTAGATGTTTAATTTTCGACTAAGACTGTATGTCTACTAACATTAAGTATTGCAATCTACAACGGCTACTGATTGTTTTTCAACTTAATAATACTAAAAAAAACTATCATTCTATTTTGTTTAGAACTTAAGCTCTATATAATTTTTACAGTAGCAAATAATAAGTTGAAGTTGTATTTATATTTAAGCGGCCAACCTAAGGTCAGAATGTAAAGTTAAGTAACGAATTATCTCCTATTTGAAAATCTAAATAACTAAATTTTATTCAAGGGAAATAACTTTTCACAATACTTGCTAAATTAACCAAGCGTAACTAAGACATGTTTAAAAAACACAATAAAACATTCTAAGTTTCATTAAGTCACAAATCATTTATATCAACTATGTAACCTTGTGAAAACAATATATTTTACCTATTGCGTACTTAGCTGTAGGTTTTGTTTGAGAATCTAAAAACGGTAGCTTTATTATAATATACTTCTATTCAATTTTGATGACATACATGTAATCGTAGCGCTTACTTAAATGGTTATAGGAAATTTTGGATCCCCTAAATATAGGGATATCTTTCAAAAAATCAAACACGGGTAACTGTTTTAGACATTCCTAGAATTATTGATAAAAAATTTTAAAAATTAAATTGGAAAAAAACAAAGTTTACTGTTAGTTATAAATTCCATCCTATTTAATACATGTTAATACTTTAAGAGTGGTAATATAGATTCCTAAAGAACTAAAGATTTTTGTCAACTAGAGAACGCCTACCCTTCTTTGTAGTGTGATCCGTACTGAATTGAAATAATCTTACGATAAACTCGACTACTCGATATACTCTTCTACATTCACAACACATATCAAACTTCGATACCTAAACATAACTAAATTAGACTCGATGCTTCAGAGCTACGACACCAACTCGTTTAACTTCACATAGCTCTACAAACGGTACTCAACAACGATTTCACTGGACCTGCCACTACACTTTAACAGTCAATATAATTCGATACCCTAATACCACAAGAATCAATACTCCCGAACTCCATAGTTCATCACCTGCATTCTCATTTCTTTACTACCAATCAGATTCCACTAGACCTTCAACTACACAACAGCCAAATAAAAAATACGACACTTTAGATACTTTACAAACCCTGTCAGCAAAAGCTTTCAGCCGTTACTCCCAAATCTAAACGATCCATCAAAATTTACCAAACAAGTACAATACTTTGAACACCCCGTCATTACAAAACTGTATACACCAGGAGAGATTCTAATTCAAAGTCAGAGAAAACGAGACTATTAAAATGTTCGAAATTTAAATTACGAACTTATTTAATCGTTTTATACATCAATTATGTGACACCAAATTAAAAAGGCAAAGTGACTTGTAAAAAGCGCCCCGACCTTTCCTAATTAGGGAAGTGGGGTTGCATTTTCACCATCGCGAATAAATAAAGGCCTGTTTAGACCTAATGTTATCGTGGGGTTGCAGAATTGATAGTTCGTCCTGGGTGCTGAAATAGATCGCTACTCCTTTATAAAAATGATTAATTATTAGGTACCTTTTGATAATAGAGATTAAACCTTTTTCGCCCCTCCCCCCCCCTAAAAATGGCGCCCTAGGCGACCGCCTAGTTCGCCTTATAGTTCGCCCTGCATACACATACGCATTCGTATACATATTTAACTATTTGAAAAGTCATAAACAATACTTTTTCTCCCACAGAAATAACAAATATGACTGACGAGCCTTCCATATCTTCACCAAAACTTGTTTGCCTCTGTTTGGTTTCATCTGTAGATACTTTGTGAACATAATTTACAACATTCGAACTAGTTTGGATTACCCCATTAGAAGTTGGATTCATTTATAGGATTATACATGTTGGATCATGGGATATATGTCGTCGTTATGGCAAGCCGTTGGGGTACTTGTTCTAATATCAGGTGAGTACAATAAATTCTACCTAAGTATGGTGCTCCAAAGTATTTATTTTTTTTGAAAATTCACGACGATGTGGTTAATTATTAAATCTTCATTTATTTGTTTTTATGATTACAAATTGTATGCAAGCTTTAATTTAATTGTCCACCATTTTATTTTTATTTTACTTCCCTTAGTAATAGCTTTTTATCATTTTTTTTTTCGATTATCCTATGCGTGTATAAAAACATTTCCAGGTTGATTTTAAGTAATCTATATCCCCAAACATGTTAAATATCAGAAATAAAAGCGTTCTGGAAAGACACATCTAATTAAGTTTTCCCAACCAAAAGTGGATATTTCAACGTTTTCAATATACCATCTATATAGGAGTTCAGTTGTTTTTTTCTTCTCTAAACCGGAAACGGTCATTAGTATGAAAAACACGCAAGGGAGTATAACTCGCGTTTGAAAAGGGGCAATAACTCACTTGTCTTATCTATTAGAAAAGAAAGCTGTCAAACCCTGCCATAACGATTTTCACAAGGATATTTTACGACTTCCCAATTCAGCTGTCGGCGATATTTTAAACCTTAGGAATGGTTTTCTTCCATTCCCGTGCAGGCAGGCAAGCACCGCTTCCCTCCCTTGGTAAGCAAGCCTCGCTTCCCTCCCTTTGTAAGCAAGCACCGCTTCCCTCCCTTGGTAAGCAAGCCTCGCTTCCCTCCCCTTGTCTTCAGTCTCCACATCTGAGACGGACGCGGAATATTAAAATGTTCTGACGTGGTTTACGCTGCACTGGCTGACGGGTTGTCTTCCCTTGCTCTACCCCCCCCCCCCCACCCCTCCCCCCCCACACATAATTTTTTACCCGCCCCCCTTTATGGTAGACATTTTACTCACTAATAAATTTGCTATACGCCTCTCAGCTTTCATTAATGTTTTGAAAGATCGTTTTTTTTTCGGGTTAAGCCATCCCGTTTAAGCCTCTGTCGTTCTGTCTGAAGTCGGTTAAACTGTAACTTATTTGAACACTTAATTTTGAAATTTCAAACTGCTGGCCAAACAATTTATACAATCTTGGGGTGCTAGCCAAAATTTTAATTTATTAACTTTAGTTTAAAAATTTGAACAATTAGCATTAATCCTGAAATACTTCATAGATTTTTATCTTAAGGGGTCATCCATTTATGACGTCCACAATTTTTTTGGATTTTGGGACCGGACCCCCCCCCCCCCCCCCCCCCCACACACACACACACAAAAAAATCCACTTTTTTCCCTATAAAAGTCCATATGCGTCCACAAAAGTCAGTTTTTTTCGGACCCCCCACCCACCCACCCGCGTGTGGACGTCATAAATGGATGACCCCTAACTGAGAACTACTGGCCTAATCTATCTATATATATTAATTCTCTTCTGGGAGCCGTTAGAAAACAAGCTGGCAAGCGCGCCTTACAGTCCCCTCTCTTCCTCTCTATCGCTACCAACCCCCACCCCCCACCACCTCACATGGTCTGGTGAGCTGTGGTTCACGCTGTTTACATTTTACAATCATAGAGACGGGTTTGGTGACGACTATTAGGGGCAGATAATTTAGTTTGAAACGATTTTAAACTTAGAGGAGGTAACTAAGATGAGGCTGCTTTCACGTGGGGGGGGGGGGGGGGGGGGGGGGGGGGGGGGGGGGGGGTTTAGTGTTTTTAAAGCAAATATTTTCAGTGGCAGCATTGGTACTGTCGAATTCACAAATTATAAATTACTGAAAAGTAGAAAAAAAAACAACTAAATAGCGGCGTATGATACGCAGCGGGTCGGCTCGTGTAATATAAAAGTGATCAGAGTATTCAAAATATCATCAGTCGTCAATCGTATGTAAAAATAAGCGTAACTATGACTTCGGCGACCAAAACTTAGTCTAAACTACAAAGTAAACCCCACAACTGTCAAAACATGTACACTACTATCTATCAAAAATGTACACTTCTTTAATATCTATCCAAATTGTAGACTACTTAACTCTCAGTCCAAAATGTACTCTACTTAACCTTTGGCCCAAAATGTACAAATTAATATAGCCTACACTAAAAATATCTCAGTGCCAATCTATCTATCTATATATATATATATATATAATTCTCTTCTGGGAGACGCTAGAAAACGAGCTGGAAGCGCGCCCCCTACCACCCCACCCCTACATGGTCTGGTGAGCTGTGGTTCACGCTAAATGTTTACATTCGTAGAGCCGGGTTTAGTGACGGTTACTAGGGGCAGATAATTAAGTTTGAAACAATTTTAAACTTAGGGGAGATAACTAAGAGGAGGCTGTTTTTCACGAGGGTGGGGTGTGGGTTGGGGAAAGGAGGGGGGTATCGTCCTTAACGAGCTACTGATAGTGTTTTAAAAGCAAATATATTAAGTGGCAGCATTGGTACTGTCGAATTCACAAATTATGAATTACTGAAAAGTAGACAATAAAACAACTAAATAGCGGCGTTAGATACGCCGCGGGTCGGCTCGTATACACTAAAAACGTACACAACTTAATTCTCAATCCAAAAAGTACACAACTTTACGTCCTAAATCTACACCAAAATGCCACTATTTGACCCCCTGCCCATCAATACACTGCTTTATTCTCCCACAATTCTCTGGCCAAAATTTAAATCAAATTCACAAACCCCGGGCACAAAAAGTCATTACCGGCAACATGTGCATGCTGGGAGCGAGGTCAGCCATATTTGTGAGATGAGGTCTCCCATAGTTCTAGCATAGCCTGGAGCTACAAGAGTTCCTTCAGCTGCCCTCACATAACGGTCGTAGTCAGGCTAGAAAGAGGTTTGACCTTTGTTGTAGGAAATGGAGATTTCAACCCCACCCCCACCCCCACATCCACCCCAGACCCACCTCATATTTCATGTATACGTGAAACTTTGTTGTTGAGGTTTTTTATTAATTATTTTATAAACTTTGAAAAGTTATACAATTTAGTACTTATGTGTAAATTTTCTTAACGTCTTTGCGACATTGGTGGAATATGTAGTTTAGTGCCCACGATTTTCCACCACTTACTGCATCCTTATTCAAACTTTAGTTTTTCAACACCAGTTTTGATCAACTCAGATACTTTTGAGCAATCTTTGACTCCAGAATTAGACTTGATAATGAAATAATTAAATATTAGTTTATTAAATTGGACGGAGTTCGAATCCGGTTTCAAGTCAGTAGACCGTCCCTGAGTCCACACAGCCATATTGGTAGGTAAAGGCGGCTGGGCATACTGCTGACCACTATACTTCACTTGCCCCATAGACCGTCAGGTTTGAAAGGGAACTTTACTAATTAAATTGGATAGGCCATCTTGTCAAATTAATTATCAGTACCACTAAGATATGTATCCGAGCGTATTAAAGCTAACCCTTACGACTATCCCTTCCCTGCCTCTTAAACCAACCCTGAATCTTAATTCTAGCACTGACCTTAAGCCTAAATCTAACCCGAATTCTAACCATACCCTTTAAGACCAAACCCTGAATCTTAATTTTAACACTGACCTTAAGCCAAAATCTAACCCGAATTCTAACCATACCCTTTAAAACCAAACCCTGAATCTTAATTCTAGCACTGACCTTAAGCATAAATCTAACCCGAATTCTAACCATACCCTTTAAAACCAAACCCTGAATCTTAACTCTATCCCTGACCTTAAGCCTAAATCTAACCCGAATATAACCATACCCCTTGAAATCAATACCAACAGACACAGAAACCGCCCATGACTAACTGAATTGCCCTGCCGGCTATCATGCAAGTACCAAAATCTCATATCACTATATCGGAGTCAGTGTCGGCCCGAGGTTAAAAAAACCTCTTCAGAGACAATACTTAAGGTCAGCGCCCCTGTAATGAGAATCTAATGAGCATCATGGGACCTCTGCCAGTTAGTTCTATGAACGGCCCGGGCTAATTCAAGAGGAACAAAATAGTCTTTTAGACCTCGCTTTAGATGACTCGCGGGGATTTCTACTAATAGAGGCTCCACCACGCCTCCCCACCTCCACTCACCCCCGGTCACCATCAAACACCTCCTGCTCCCCCTCTCTTGGACGATACTCCTCCTCTAATGCCCATCTGTCACCCCCACCCCACCATTCCATAAAACCAAACGCATTGTAGCACTGTTACAAAGCTATTGAAATACAACACAAAAACGTTGTTTACTTGTAACGAGTTTTCAATTATCAATTATCTACTAATTATCTACTCATAAACATACAAATTCAAACGTTTACATATCCTCGAATGTATACTATTTTGTAATGTCTATAATATACTAGTCGAGTGGTAATCTGCGCGACCCGCAATAGGGCTGGTAAGTAGGTCACCAACCAGTTCTATGGCTCATGCAGGTTTTATTGAGCCGTAGAACTGGTTGGTGACCTACTTACCAACCCTATTGTTTCCGAATATCATTTTTTCGTTTTGTAAACAAACTGTTTTTTGTGTGTCAAGAACCTTACTTACTTTGACTGATTCTTGAAGCCCATGAGGAGCAAAGGGCAGCAGCTAAATCTCTTCTACATTCTTTTTTTTTTGGGGGCGTCTTTTTTTGGAAGACATTTTTTTTTTTTGGCGATTTGATTTTGGGCCCATATAAGCCCCGAAGCTATTGCTACGCTTTCAACAGTCATTTTAGACTACTTCCTGGATTTTCTATAGGAAAAGTAGAAGAAAAAATTATTCATAAAATAAAATTGTGAAGTTGAGCTCACCGTGTAGACTGAATTGTCGAGTACGTTTTGGTATTATTTTGCACTTAAACATGTTGTTAAGTAGTGTACAATTTTAGTGTAGTCCACATTTTGAACTGGAATTAAATAATGTACATTTTGGTATCCATTTGGACTTACTTAAGTAGCGTACATTTTGCCGGAAATCACGTGACCATCTTCATACCCGACTGCCTTCACCATCCCCAACTAGTCGAGTCGAGCACCCATCAGAAGTTACATTTTATTTTTC